ATGTAAATTTCTTTTCACCGTTCCATCCAGCAGGACCTCTAGATTCAGAATATCGTAAATTTTACTGATAGTGAGCAAATTGGCTTACTTTAATAGATAGAAGGGTTTGTTTAGGCCCTTTCTGATGGAAACCTAGAAGGGATTTATAGCTGTTTCAGATACAGATTGGGCATGAGAATGGTCAATAAAGCAATTGCACAATTCATTTTGTGTGTTTAATTGGTGAGATACGCGTATATTCAATGCGAGAGTACTATCAGTTATTGCCTATGTTGATCTTCTTATTTGACACATTTCAGCTAACATCTCCTTCTTTCGGAGCACATCCGTTCATATATTTTTCAGATTGAAGGCGATGATCTGGAACCGTAGCCTTAAACCAAAAATTGTTTGTTTCATGATCATAATCATCATATGAATCATGTGTTGTTAACGCAAGCAATGTTGTTAACGCAAACACTGCTCTTCGAATTACATGCACTATGTGCATGTAATTCGAAGAGCAGTGTTTCACTACGATAGAGGATTTTACGATACGATCTATCAGGAATCTTCAGCAGAAAGAGTAGTTTATTGTGTTCGATGTTTATGAACAACATCAGAAAGGCTGAATGAGAAATGCAGACGGTCTCAGGAGTAACAAGAGCATGGAAATATTCTTTAGTTGGATTGAAATATTAGACGTTTCCGAAATCGTGCGTCTAGTTTCAGAATCTGTTGCAATCACTCTTGCAAAGGATCACGTGTTGTGGATCCTTCAAGAACTCTTGAAGATCTCAACAGTCTCAATCAATCTACAAAGCTTTTTTTTCAAATGGGCCAGCTCTAGCGGTCGGTTTCTGGCCATTATTCTCTTAGAAATTGCAATTTTTTAGTCGATACTCGATGTCTTTCGAGTGATTATCGAAGAAAAGAAAATTGAAATGGTGAATATAGATCGCATTTTCGATTACCAATACTGGCAATAGCTAAGATTGACTCGATCGTATCACCTAATCGCATGAATATGTAACTTCAACTATTCGGTCACATTCATCTCTGATCTATGTTTCAATGCACTTATCTATGATTCAATGCACTTGCTCAATGCGTTTCACTTGCAACAATCAGTCAACGTTCAAATTAAAAAACAATGGTTCAGTGCATCTCTCTCTCGCTGACCACTCAATTCAACAAGTATTATACAATGCTCTCGTCATAGCGCTATTGTCACTCAGTCAAGCATGCGGAAGTGCATCACATGCATGTTCCTCCTTCCATCATTGTCGTTGTTGACGTGTTATCACCTTTGCCACTGTTCCATCCCAATTATTCCAGCTTTCAATATTGCACTAGGAGTTGAATTCGAAAGATTACATAAATGATGATCAAGAATTCATTTAATAACATCGCAGATTTTTTTACCTTTTCATGTGAAGCATTCCTTTTGCAATAGTATCGTTACCACTGCATTAAATTAACAACAACACCAAAAAACAACTGCTTTGTAATGGCAATTATGCCAAGCAATCTCTTAATCATCGTTACACACAACAATTTTCTATTCCAAAACAGATATTCCTAGCGATTTCGTATCTCGTCAATTTTACCCGCAACTGCTCCCTGCTCGAAACTGCAAACGGATCGTTCGCTTTCGCCTAATATCTCTTAATATCACTCATAATCTCTTGAATTTCAGTAATTGCAACAGAAGGTGCCAACCACACCAGCGAAAAATCGCCGCTCTTCGCCGATAAATTATCAATTAAATTGTATGTTACAAATCATATTCATTTCAGTTCATTATTATTTCGTTAATATCCTTAGTTTCATTGCTTTTCGCAACAGAATCAGAAATCACCTTGCAGCGTAAGTTCTGAATTTGTTGCGAGCAGCTAATTATAATTTTTTTATTTGATATCTTTTTTTGGAACGTTTGGCTGATTCATCGTTGAAATAAATCAGTTTCGTCATAATATAAGTTTTTCAAAAGCGTTCTCCAGAATATTGAATCATTTTCATTTGGAATGTCCGATTTCAAAGTCTAGGGAATTTAAAATTAAGTGTGATGCATGCATTTCTTAATATCAAATCTGATGAATCAAACAGAAATGTATCCACCCATCACATCCAATCACGAATACTAAAACCTTTTCCTTCATATCCTCGGATTCTTTCCGAACCTCCTGTTTTGGCGGAAACCTAGTGGAATTCTTTAATATTTGAATTTTTTTCGAATCCCTGGCTCTCATTGTTTTCCAACCAGTTATCATATTATGATGAATTCCAGGTTTTTTAATAATGAAATAAAGTCATCAGCAGCAGCAGCAACAATAATTTATTTTTGAAATCGAAGCGGATTCATCGATTTCTAAATAATTTAATGTAAGTTCGGAATTTCACTTCCATTCCTTATTGTTTTCGTTTTTTTTCTTCAGTCAATATTGCTACTTTCATTTGTGTTGATACGATGTGGTTCTGATCATGAAGCGTTGACATTCTTATGGTGATATATGATCCATTGAAATCCTTTGCAAATTCCACACATCCCAGTTGTTTTGTTGCATTGCTTTCCAAATGACCGCAACATGGTCAAATGCCCGATGCCCGATCTTAATGTCTTCAGTCTGCAATTTATTCCGCTTCATCTTCTCCATCTTGAATCAACTTCATATTTCTTGCACGCTTCCCGTTCACACTGTCTTACCTTAAAAACACGTGAGCGATTTGGGTCTGTTCAATTGCGCAGTTATTTATATTAGATTATATCATTGCACTGAAATATTTTCTGATAGCGACTGAATGAAATTTTGGAATATTGCAATGTTAAACTCGAATATTCTCGATGAAATTTGCACAATATCTTACACTTACCCAAAACTGTCTTATGGTCTATTGAAAAGGCGCTTGATCATTCCTACATGAATATCAACCTTGAAGCTCATTGAGCGATATCGTCAGCCCAATACACCGAAGAATTTACGGCATTAAAATGATAGTGAATAACGTTTTCGGTTAAATTCTACGTATGCAATTAGCACTCACCTTGATCTGAACTTTGCACACCGAGCTGCGAATAAACCACACTTTTTGATGCATTGCGTTTAATTGTTTTGATGCAATTAACGGTTCACTTTAACGTTGAAGTGGTTTCATGAGTTCTTTGGATGTTTTGCTTCATTATTACATCGTACGAGGATGTAACTTTAATATACTAACAAGTAAGTGCTGCCCATTGAGGTTCTTCAATCGCTCCATTCAAATGCGATGCGCTGCGATTTTGGCGAATAAAATACCGCATTTCTCCATGGATTTTCTGATTTTGTTGCCGTCTCCTAAAAACTTCGCATTTCAATTGAGCACCTTTCTTGCAAGAAAACGGAAACGAAAAACGAAACTTTTATTAAGCAGCGTTTGAGAATGGTTCCAAGACTGCGAGATTTATCCGAAGATGTGGGCACTTGTAGTAGCGCTCAAGAGAACGATCATAATACTGCGTGAAAACAAGGTCGTGATTCAAAATAAACGAATCCAAGCATATGAATTCATATGAAAACGATCTTCGGCAATAATGAAACAGTGTATGAAGCGTCGATCCTCCCTCAATAAACAGCCAGAAAAGTCAGTCCAAAAATAGTTTCCAGTCGTTGAACTTCTTTGAATTATCTGTTGATGTGCGCGAAACATTTCACGATATCTATTTTGATCCCGGCTTTACTAACGTCTCATAAGGAATCATTTATGAGTTGCAATTTCTACCAGAAAATGAACACATTGCGAAGCATTCTGATGATGCGATGAACTTCTCTGATGAAAATAAATGTTCGATGATTGAACCTTCAAATAGCATACAGAATCTTTGAGCAAAGGATCTCGACAGTATCTGTAAACTGCACTCATAAATATGAATTCCGAAGTAACTCAACAAAATTCACCTATTGTCCATCTTCAATCCTCATCGCACCTATTCTTATTGGACTGTTAAAGAATAAGGGCATTTCATGATGTTATAGAAATTATGATACTCACAATGAATGAATTGATTGAATGCACTGATACAACTCAGATGCAAAGAGATGTATTGATATGGATGTGTATCTCATAATGATAAGCGATCAACTTTAAAAACTGACTTAAATTCTCTTTAAAGTTTTGGGATTCGGGAAAACTGAGGAAATTTACGATTGTTTCAAAAATGATTACTTTCAGTTGAAAATGTTGAACGGCAGCAATTTTGACAGCAGCGTAGCGAGCACCAGCAGCAGCAGTTTTGACAGCAGCATAGCGAGCACCAGCAGCAGCAGCAGCGAGAGGAGCAGCGGGAGCAGCAGCACGGGGGGCGTTGGGAGAAGGAGCATGGGGGGCAGAAGGCGTCGCCATAGGGAGAGGGCAGAGGAGGCAATCAACGACGTCAACGTTCGTTACACGAATTTTGTGTGGCGCGTCGTGGAAGGAGAACCGGGCCATCCGGAAACGAGGCCCGAGGTGAGGGATCTACATTTTGGGGGTGTAGTGAGGCTCACTTGCAGCAATCTGCTGCAAGTGCTGGGAGTACTCAGCCTGAAACCGGGAATGAATCAGTTGGTTCGGTGGGTAGAGCAAAACTGGCCGATTACCATCACTAACATGCCGCCGGAACTCGGAAAGCACTCAATAAGTAAGTTCAGTTGCACTTCAGTGAAATATATAATTAGTTTCCTTATGTACTATTCACTTATTTTAATCATGCAGGAAAAAAGCTTTGAAAAACTTCATTATCACACTCTCATGATATGAAGCGATATAACGGCAATGAACATAATATCGCGAACATCACCGTTGTCTTATCACTGTGAATTACACATAAGAGGTCAATAATATAGTATCACTTAAACACTTAACACATCATATTCATTGATATGATATTTTATATTAACGAAATGACTGTGAGAAAGATCAATGGTTAAATCATCACGTTAGGAGCGAGAATTTTACAAAGAACGTGAATGTAAAATTAGTCAGTAGACTTAAGCAGTGAGAATTTAAAAAAAACATTAAGATCGTGAAATGAGAACGTCAAGAATGGTCGTGAAATCGGGTACATTGGATATCGAATTTTCACTTACTATTAATCGTTTGAAAGCGCATGAAGTAACGATTGTTTTCAAATTTCAGTAGAATCGGCCAGGACAGGGGCACCCTCCCCCCTGTTGATTGAAGCAATATGCCAGATGGTGGGCGTCCAGCTTCTCGTGCACAGAGGGGACATCGAGAACGCGAGAAGCTGGAAATTCGGCGTAACGGGGCCGGTTCATGAAGTAATCCGCGAAGCGCCGGACCGTTACGCCGCATTCATAGCAGAACCCACGATTCAAGTAAGTTAATTTGATAATATACTCACCTTTTTGGTGACGAAAGCATTTATTTGGTTGATAGTGATAATAATGTTCTGATATTTCATTCAGCATCATGATTATGATAATAACTCTATCATCGAAAATCATAAAAATAATCGATTAATATTGCAGTTCGTGGAATCGGACCTGTTCGCCAGCGAAATGAATCAATGGGCAGTTCCGGTTCCAGCCGAAGTAAGTAAAACTCGATGGTATTTTCACTCATTGTCAGTAACTAAGGAATAAACAAACACTTGTTACTGTACCGAATGGAAATAGCGTAGATATTCTGATATACTATAGGTATTCAAGGAGCACTGCTGTCTCAATAATGCGATCGTCGGTAGAGATTCAAAAAATAATGCGAATATTTTCATCTTAATAGTTTCGGAATTTAGAAAGATTATTCATTCGATTAATTCGAAGTTAATTAAGGGCAATAGCTGAGGAATAAACCACTTGAGTGATGATATCATTCGGTGCTATAGGGCGTTCTTGTGTGATACTGTCTGATAATGCCATTATATGAGTCACTTTAGCAATGGTAAAACGTATTATAGCACCGTGTTGTGGGAATATGCAATCATAATGTGATTAATTTTTAGCTGAATCGTGGGGAACGCCCACCACCTGAGCGGGAGGGACCCGCCGAACCAGAACCGCAACCTGAGGAGGAAGAAGAAGACGCTAACAACATAATGGACTTTAACGAAATTAACAATATTGACGACAATAACGATATTAACAACGACAACCCTAACGACGACATTAACATTAACGAAGAAGATAACATTAACGACGACGATATTAACGAAGATAACCAAGAAATTAACGACGACATTAACATGGCCCAACCACAAGAGGGGCCTGCGCAGCCCCGCTATTTTCTGTAAGTTCATTCTTAATGATTCGTATTGACTTTTCACCATTATCGATTTGATATCATTCCTCTTATTGATATTGAAATATTTGGTACTTTTATGATAATTGGTCAGAATGTTAAGAGATTAGATGAATGGGGTGAGACTGATGTGTGGTAGATGTTTATTAACTGATGGAATTGATGATGCCGTGAACGAATCAATCGTTATGTTTTGCATATTTATCTCAAAATGAATCTCTTTCAGGCGCAGGCCCCACGTCCCCAGGCAGCCACTCAGAAGGCAGCACGAGCCGCAGGTATTCCGGCCGCACAATATTGAGAATCTGCGGCCGGAACATCAAGCCGAGTTAACGGCACCAGAACAAGAGGCATATCACGTCAACGACGACAACACAATCTGTAAGTTTCTTAAGTCTGATTGATAATTTCTGATTGAATATCTGCATTCAGTTGAATATCGAATAAATAAAACCTAGTTAAGATGGCGATGAGCAATTTTCATCTAACGTAAGCATATGATAAAAAAGATTTTTATATTGAATTGAATCAACGGCTTTAAACAAATCATCGCGCTTTGTCATTAATATTTATATATAATTCAGCGGTCATAAATGTGATAACAAAGCTTACAATATCGTTGATAAAAGAATGATTAAATATTTCTCTTTGCTTATCAATAATATTTCAGGGTGCCGTTTACCCGGCTGCGCCAGGCCCAACCAGCCATTCAAAACGGTTCGGGCCTGGAAGATTCATGTGCAGAGAGCCGCCTGCCACAGAGGCGAGAGTACGTTATCATATTTCTACCTTTTTTCACTTCTTGTTCTTTTCAAAATCTTACTGTGAATTTTCCAGTTAAGATTCAGCGATGGAAGGGAATGCGAAGTTAATATAAAACTTTCTAAATAACTTTATTAAGTTTACGAAGAATGACTTTGTTGAGTCGGCGATTTTCTGATGATTGATGCTGAAATATTGGAATCGGTTTCTGGCATTGTCAACAGCAGTCAATATTTTGAAAGTTAACTCGAAACAACTTTCAGCTCTCTGCACATCCTGCGGCCACCACGTGGCCATGCCCTCCTCGGCGCACCTCTCGGCCGCCGAGATCAAAACAATCATGGACGCCCACAAAACCGAGAGGTGCGTCGGCGCCACCAGACAAGTTATGAAGGCGCGCAAAACCGCCGCCGAGCGCCTAATGATTCTGGGCCGCGATAACTCGCATATCGCGGTTCCAGATGAAGACGCGGAAGAGGTCCAGGTGTCCTCGTCCAATCCTCGCAAGAGGCACCTGGCCTCCGAGGCGGCGTGGAGGGCAGACCAGTGCTGCCTGTACCTCAAAAGGTTCAAGGAAGACCATCCCGATCTAATGGCGCAGATCGGGATGGAGCATCAGCTCAGATTCGACTGAATGGAACGATGCGAGAGAGGCAACAGCGGTACAACNAAATCGGTTACATTCATTAATTTTCACATAACACAAAATTCATTTCAGCAACAGAGCGTATTACCTCATTGAGGGATGATATAGAGAATAGCAATAGGTAGAGCATTACTGAGAACAATTATAAACAAGAACCTCAAGAATAGTTTTGAATCCAAATAAAGTTAGAATAGATTACAAGCGAGCACAATAAGAATAGGAAAAGTAGGAATAGAAGAAAGTAGAAGATGTTACATTGTTTTGAATGTGTTATTGTGATGATTGTTTTTCAAAACTGTTATTCTGTTACTTTCATTATGATATGTTGATTAGCAATGTTATTGTTATCTGAAGTACACATATTGTATTAGCCCAGTTCGAATTATGTTAATATTGTATTATCATATCTTATAATTATCGTCACTCGATCGTTAGTCGCATTCCAGCAACGACGGAATTATCAGTTTATACATCAAAAGGGGATTTCGATTATCCTATGAAATGAATACTGAACAATTCTCCATGCTAAAACTGAAAGTTCCACACAAATTCTTTGCGCCTATTTGTGAAGAGTGCGAATAATGCGACAAAAAAGCCAGTTGTAGAGCGGTCGACCTCTTAAGGTTATTGGGGTCAGAGAGACATGCCCTCAAAAATTCTTTCCGGATATTTTGGGCATCCAACTTCATCGTAGAAGAGGAGTCATAGGGCGNTCAAGCCAGCTCCTCAGCGCCCAAATGGAGGGATATATTGCTAGTTATTATCATGAATATACATATAGTATTAATCATTTTATGATGATGCTATTACATAATGGGTTCGGGCAAACGGACGAGGTACTTCGGGTCGGGTCTTGAAGTACTTCGAGTCAGGGGAACGGGATGCGATACCTCCATAGGCGCTTAATGGGTCAATTAATAACAACACATAGTTGTTAACATTATAGTATTGAGATCACCGCTCAAAGCCAGGCTTAAGTTCGCACCAAAAAGCACTCAAATAATTTATCCTAAAAGCGCATTTTATGATTGGATGGGCGATGAGAAATTCGATGTAATGATGAAAACGGGGAAATCCCTATTAATCAATAATCTCTTTCTATCTCTACAATATTCCTTTCCTATCCTTTCTTATTAGAACTCCAAACTACGTAGTTCAATGGATGCGACGAGGACACAAAAATTTCAAAAAAACAGTGAACGAATGGGCAACGGCAGCGCGGAACGGACGATAACAATTAAAAAATAAAATAATTAAAAACAAAAAATAATAAAAGTACTTCAAGAAATTATAAATAAAAAATAAAATAAAAAATGAAAAAATTTAAAAATCAGAAAAAAAATAAACTGAAAAGAAAACAAATATTTTTTAATGTTCTTTTAATATTGTGATTGACATCGTTTGTTGAATTTGTTATCATTAAAATTACTGTATACTTATGTTTTTATTGTTATATTACTATTGTAATGTGTTGTTATTGTTATACTGTCATTGTATTGTTTTGTTATATTGTTATTGTTAGTTGTTGTTACATTGTTAATATTATTGTTACTTGCCGTAACTTTATTATTGTTATTGTCATATTGTTAGTGTTGTTTGTTACTACATTTTTGTTGTTACTTTTTGCTATATTGTTATTGCTACATTGTTATTATTACTTGTTGATATATTGTTATTGTTACTTATTGTTATTGCTGTTACATTATTGTTGTTACTTTTTGTTATATTGTTATTGCTTCTTCACTTGCGTTGCATTGTTACTTCATTTTTGTTATATTGTTATTCAAATTGCTATTGCATGCTGTTG